CCCCTGGCCATGCCCCCACACCCCTCTCTCCCCCCACAGCGCGGTGCCCCTGGCCCACGTGGTGCTGGAGGGTCGCAGGGACCGGCCGCCCCTGGTCCTGCTCCACGGGCTCTTTGGCAGCCACGGCAACTTCCAGACAGTGGCCAAGACGCTGGTACGACGTGGGAGTGGCAAGGTGAGACCCAAGGGGCCCCCCCCCCGAGGAGGGGCACAGTGGGCAGTGCCCACAGGGTGACACGGTGCCCCTGCCCAGGCAGGTGCTGACAGTGGACGCCCGGAACCACGGCGGGAGCCCCCACAGCCCTGAGATGACATACGAGGCCATGAGCCTGGATGTGCAGCACCTCCTGAGCCGCCTGGGCATCGCCAAGTGCATCCTGCTGGGACATAGCATGGGCGGCAAGACTGCCATGACGTTGGCCTTGCAGCGGGTCAGCAGGCACGGGGCTCTGGGGTCAGGGGGAGCAGGCTTGGGGGGCTCCTGGGGGGGTTGTAGGAAGGGGGTGGCACCCTTTGGGGGTGTTCACTGGTGACAGCCTTGTCCCCAGCTCCACAGGGCCTTGTCTCCATCAGGGTGGGGTGCAGGAGCAAGTCCGTGATCACCAGCCCAAAGCTCTGCCTCGTCCCTCCAACACCAATGGAGAGGGAGCTTGGAGATCTGTGCCAAGCAGAGGGACTCTGGGAAGGGCACATGGAGGTCTCTGCTGAAGCAGGAGGGAGCAAAGAGCCTCCAGGAAGTCTGACTGGGAGCAGAGCCCTGTGCCCCCTCCCACAGGGGAGATCTTGGGACATCCTGGCATGGATGTGCCCTGCTTGTGTCCCCAGCCAGACCTGGTGGAGCGCCTCATCTCTGTGGACATTGGTCCCAGCTCGACCGCCCCCGTGTCCGAATTCTCTGCCTACATCTCTGCCATGAAGGAGGTGAAGGTCCCAGCTGGCCTGTCCCGCTCTGCAGCCCGACAGCTGGCTGATGACCAGCTGCAGCCTGTGGTCAAGGTAGGAAATCCCGTGGGAGATGGAGGTGGAGGTGCCAGAACATCCAGGTTTGTTACTGAACAGTGCACCGTCCCCTTCCGTGGCAGCTCCCACAGCTCAGACAGTTCCTCCTCACCAACCTGGTGGAGGCGGAGGGCCGCTACGTGTGGAGGGTGAACCTGGAGGCTATTTCCCGGCACCTGGAAGATATCATGAATTTCCCTGTCTTCCACAAGCCGTATCCTGGCCCCACACTCTTCCTGGGAGGGTCTGACTCGCCCTATATCAGGTGGGACTGGAGAGAAGCGGTTCCAAGTCTGTGGTTTGACCCCTTGTGCTCTTTGCAGCTGCTGAGGGTGGGGAGGAAGCCCCCAGGGTGGGGGAGGCCCTGAGCGAGGTCTGTGCCTCCAGCAGTGACACTGATGCTGGAGTGAGGGGGAACCTGGGGAGGGGATGTGCTCAGACCTGGGATCACCTTCTGTGTGGGGAAGGGGAGGGAAGACACCAGGAGGGACCTCTAACCGTGGCACGTTCCCTTGTCCTGCAGCTCCAGAGACTATCCGGAGATCCAGCGCCTCTTCCCCAAGGCGGAGATCCAGTACATCAAAGGTGCAGGGCACATAGTCCATCAGGATAAATTCGAAGAATTCATCACTGCTGTCCTCAATTTCCTGCCACAGGTGTAGCACTGGGGACCAGGATTTCTGCAAGGACCGTGTGGGTCCTGAGGAGCTCTGGGCAGTGACACAGGGCTTGGGGCTCTGTGAGGAGGGGCTCAGCTGGGACTGGCTCCTCTCAGTGCAGTTTGATCCTGCCTGCAAGGCTCTCCCATCCTGGTTCTCCTGCAGCCAGAGTGGAGAGGGAACTCCATCCCACTGATCTCCCCTGCCACCTCGCAGGGACACAGGGTGGCACAGCCCAGGACACCGTCCTGCCTGCACTGGAGTGTTGGGCACTCGGAGGGGGCAGGAGAGCCCTCTCGTTTTCCTGCTGCCAGACCCACCTGTGGATCTGGCTGTGACTTTGCAGAACGTGCAATAAAGCTGAATCGGTGCCAAGGCACAACAGGATTTGGATGTGGCTGTGGAGGGCAGGGAGGGTGTGGGGGGCACAGGGAGGGGCTCTCACTTGCCAACAGTGACAACTGGACTGGGGCCCTAATGTGACGAGCTGTGGGAGCAGTGCACAAGACACAGGTTTGAGGATCTTTCTTGGCTCCCAGGGGAATCACGTCCTTGCTCCACCTCTGGGGCAACATGAGGACTGGGGAGCAGGGGAATCTGCCTCCTGAGCAAGGAGATGCTGCCAGCCTGTGAGGGGGAGGCATGGAAACCCCCCAGAGTGCATCTGCACAGCCTGTCCCAAAGGCAGAGGTCCCTTTGTCCCTGAGCTCCCAGTGATTTCTCCCCTCCCGCCTGCTCTGCATCCCCCCGAGGCAGCATAACACCCACCCACCCTCTGTGGGCTGGAGGCAGAGGAGCAGGGTGTCTGCTGCAAAAATCCCTTTATTGGACAAAGGGTAAAGCCAGGGATGGGGTGGAAGTGGCTGTGGGGGTGACACATCATCTCTGTCACAGCTGGGGGTAGGCTCTGTGTAGGGACAGTGAAGAGAGACACTAACCAGCTTTGCACTTGGTGCTCCCCAGGATGAGTTTGCTCAATCTGAGGTTGTTGGGAGGCCCCAAAGGGGAGGGAGGATGGCAGGCCAAGGGTGTTTTATTCCAGGCCTGGCTGTAGTTGGCTGGCAAAGGGGGCACCAGGGGCTGGTTGGGCGATTCGCTGTGTTCCTGCAGAGCTGTTCTTGTCTCTTCCCCTTGTCCTTTTCTGACAAAGTGCATTTTTCAGGAGCAGGGCTGTGTTGGCCTTGAGCTTTCTGCTATGTTACCTCAAATTCAAACACTTTTGCTCTCTGTGTATTATTTTTCAGTGAAGAACATCAGACCAAGAAGTTCCTGAGCCACTGGCTACTGAAACGAGTCCCTTGGGTGCCACCAGCCAGCTGGGGGGTGAGGCCTGGCCCCAGCTATCAGCACACAAGACCTTTGGACCAAGCCATGAGCTCTGGAGCCCAGGGTCAATGGGGAATTTCTCCCCACTCCTTCCTGCTGGCCAGGTCCCACATCTGGGGCACGGACAAAAGGCTGCCACAGAGTTGTGAGGTGAAGAGACAGGAGGTCAGTGGCCTGGGAAGAGATGGAACTTCCATCTGGTGGCATCTACTGAGGGAATTTAGCAAAGCATTGTTGGACCTGGGGTGAGGGAGACAGCAGGGAGAAATGAGAGAACTTTGTTCCCTGCATGAGAAGGGTGCAGGGAGTCAGGAGGCATCCCAGGGGCATGTCCAGGGCCATGTGTCTGGTGCCATGGGCTGCACCAACATGCCAGGCTCATGTATGCTCATAACATGTCAGGGTGCTGATGTCTCCAGAGACCCAGCTGACTTCCCAGGCCAACCCAGACCTGGTTTTGACTCAGCTTGCTCCTAAGGGGCCTGCTGAGAAATGGCCTGTCCTGGCCTGAGCTCTGCTCCCAGCAGGATTTCTGACCCTTGGCACAGCTGGTTAACCACAGAGCTCACCTTCAGGAAGAGCTCCTCTAAGTGGCTGTTACAGGCGTGGTTTGAAACTGCTCTGGCAGGCACTAGATGAAAATGGAGCCTGTTGATGACCCTGGGGGGTCCCTGTTCAGCCCTGCAAGGGACAGCCATCCCCAAAAGCCCTGTTGTCACAGCATAGGGGGGCTCAGAGCAGTGACACCGGAGACACCCAACTGCCCCTTGCTTTCCAGCCTTGGACACTCCCCAGGGCTGGGACCCATTCCAGCATCCCACTGGAGGTTCTGGGAGCCCCAGCATGTCTGGGAGCAGCCGATGGCCCCTCATCACTCACCCAAGTCAGCAGCCAGGCCCAGCTGCTCGGCCAAGGTGCCATCCTGAGGCTGTCAGTGGAGATGTGGCTGGGCCCTTGGAGCACGGTGTCAATGAGGAGCTGAGCCTATCCACGCACATCCTGCATTGATCCTGCACCTCTTCCACCCCACTGAGGCTCAGAACCCCTTGGGACAGCAGGTGGCCCAGCAGCCCAGAGGTCAGTGGGTTGTTCACATGCTCCACAGACTTTCCCCATGTTCTGGAGCAGCTTGTCTGCAGGGTGGCACCATCAGCCCCATGTCACAGCTCCAGCTGCCCCACCACCCCCTCCGGGTGCTTCCTCTTCCTCATCACCCCTCTACCTGCTCCCCTTTCCCCATCACCTCCCCTGGATGCTCCCCTTCCCCATCACCTCCTCTGGGTGCTCCCCCTGCCCCATTGCCAACCCAGGGTGCTGCTCCCTCCTTCATTTTCCAGCCCAGAGGTTTCCCCCGCCACCACCCACCTCCCCCTTTTGCCAGCCCAGAAAAATTGCACCAGGGAATGCATTTGCATGGACCCAGCAGCTGCTGTGAAGGGAGGAAGCTCCCAGCCCTCTCAGAGCCAGGCATGGGGCAGCTGCACTCACAGCTGGCAGCCCCAGTGCCAGGCAGGGATGGTTGTCCTGTGCCAAGGACCAACATCCCCTCGTGCACACCCCCCAAACCCTCCAGACCTGTCTGGGTCTGGGCTTGGCTCATCCCCTCCAGGGGCCACAGGGAGACACCACCTCGGGCAGCAGCACCTCATCCTGGAACAGCTGTCCAGGGAGGGCGTGGAGTCTCCTTCTCTGGAGACATTCCAAACCTCCCTGTGTCACCTGCTCCAGGTGCCCCTGCCCTGGCAGCAGGGTTGAACTGAGTGATCTCCAGAGGTCTCTTCCAACCACATCCCTCCTGTGACTCCGTGATGCACACACGGGCCCAGCAGCCCTGTTTCCATCCCGCAGGAGCCTGGAATGTAAAACCTGGGCTGTGAGAAAGCCTGGGATTGCCCCAGAACTACATCAGTGGGGCAGGCTGAGCACAAGGCGAGACCTGGGTGGGAATGGTAGAAGTAACGCCAAGGATGGGGAAACCTAGGGACAGGGACAGAGGCACATCCACCCTGGGGGAGGCACATCCACCCTTGGGATACACATCCAGCCCCAGGGATTCACATCTATACCCAGGGAAGCACATCCATCCTGGGGGAGGCACATCCACCCTTGGGATGCACATCCACTTTTGGGAGCCACATCCACCCTGAGGAGGCACATCCAGCCTCGGGGATGCACATCCACCCTTGGGAGGCAGAGGGATGCAGCAGCTGACCGGGGCTGGATGCGGGCCGACAGAAAGGGGCGATAGAACGGTGAGGCCTCACGCTCCCTTGACCGTCCCGGTGGCTCCGCAGGCAGCGAGGCCTGGCCCTGAGCCAACCCTTCCCCCCTCCCCGCGCCATCCCGCCCCGGTCGGGGCACCGGAGGGAGGCGCCTGCCGTGAGGGGGCTTCGAGTTGCCGGCGGTCCCTGATGCCCCGTGGCCGGGTCCCTCGTGCCCGGGGTCCCCATCGGGCCCGGTCCCCCGGTGAGGCTGGAGGGGGTCCGCGCTGTCCGCGCGGCGTCCTACGTGGCACGGGGACAGCCCCGGCCCCCCCCCGCGCCCGTCTTTTCCTAGAGGGAAGCCCTGCCGCCGCGGGCCTCCCATTGGCTCGCGGCGGGTACGCGCTATGATTTCTCATTGGCCGCCCGCCGCGGGTCCCGCCCCCCCCGCGTGTCACGGATAAGGCCTGGCGGGCAGCCGCGGGGGGCGTGGCTGGCAGCCGGCGTCTGGCTGGGCGGGACCGCGGTCCGGGCGGCTGATTGGTTCGAGGCCGCTCGGCGGTAACGCGGGCCGCTGGATTGGGTGGCGGCACGCCCGCGCCGGTGGCGGGGGGCCGGGCGGGACCCGCATCGCGGCAGAGGCGGGAGCGGCGCGGCTCGGAGCCGGGCGGGAACTCGCCGCGTACGGGGCAGGTGAGACCGGGGGGCACCGGGGCAGGGGGCAACTCGGGGGGGCCGGCTGGGATACCGCCCTCACGCAAGCCCCGTGCGTCTGGCGCCGCCTCCTGCCTCCGCCGCCGCCCGGTGCAGCGCGCCTCCCCGGGGGCCTGTCCGGAGGGGCGGGCACCGCCCCGCGCGGCGGCAGCGCTGAGTGCGGCGGTCCCTCGCCACAACCGGGTGGGGGCGGGTTGGCGCCCACAGCCCTGCCCTGCACCGCTCCGGCCCTGCGGCACTCGGGGCCTGGGCCCTTCCCTGGGCCGAGCCCGCGGGCCCCGCTCGCTCCCCCTCTCCCTGGAGATCCCGCCTGGAAGCGCCTGGAGGGTGGGAGGTTCTTGTGCCGCCGGGGAGCTGATTCTTGTTCGCACCCGGTTACCCCCCGGAGGTCACGCGGGGTTGGGTTTTTGGAGCAGGTGCCTCCCCTCCGTGCTGGGCAGGAGCTGGTTCTGGCCCTAGTTTGGTGGTGTTGCAGGTTGGACGTTTATTTCGAACCCCCTCAGCTGCCGCTGTGTTGTCAACATTGACTTCCCTAAAGCGTCTGCAACGATGCCTTTGGGTTTTCCTGCTGAATTAACTGAAGGGGGATGAACTCCAAATAGTCCGTGTGAAATTGGGGGTTCCTAGGACGTTACTGAGGACAGTATGTCAACAGTCTCATAAGGGTCCTGCTGGTGATTTTGGCAGTGACCTGAAGGAATTTTGCAGCTAAAAAGCTGAGGAAGTGCATGGGAAGCTCAGGGTGCTGCGTGGAAAATGGGAAGTGGAGATCCAACACAAGGGGTCTGGTTAGTTTGGCACTGGACTTTGGGGAGGCCACATGTGTTTTACCAGAGAAAACAAACTATTCTGGAAGAGTCTGTAATGGGGATGGAGAGATAAGGGAGAGAGGAGTGGTATCTGTCCTAGGAAGCAGGATTTTTTGCCTGAGGTTATGGATATATTGAATGCAGAAAGCCAGGTTGGAGGTGGGCTTTGGACCCTCACTGTAAAGGAGGAGGAGGAGGAGAGGGAGCATTAGATCAGCTCCAACATTGGTGCAAACACTGCTGCCCCTGGGTTTGGTGCCTGTGTGTGGTTCAGAGCTGGTGGAAAACTGTGCAGAGTTCAGAGATGTTGGGATTAAAGGTGAAAAAAGCTG